TTTGTTCAGTCTAGTGTGTAAGAGGGTGGAGAAGTAAAAAGTTTCTTCTGTACAGCACAGGGAACTATGTTCAATATCTTGTAATAACTTTTAATGAAAAAGAATATGAAAACAAATACATGTACACGTATGCATGACTGGGACACTGCGCTGGACACCAGAAAGCGACACGTTGTAACTGACTGTGTTTCAATTGGAAAAAAAAAAAGAGGATGGAGAAGTGTATGAATAATGGTAAGACCAGAACAAGGTGATGAGCCCGGGCCAGAAGCTAAGGGGCCTTCTGAGTCGGGGGGTTCAGGGAGTGTGTTCCGGGAGGAAGCTTGGAAGTGAAGCCCTCAGGCTCTAATTTAGAGATGGTCCGGGTGTGCTTTGAACGCCTCACTTCAACTTTCTGAAGATGCTCATCTTCATGTAAAGCAGGGTGAGGATGATTCATTCCTGGAGAAAGCTGTCTCGTTCCGATAACCCACTGCTCTGCCACGATCTGGGGAGAGGACCCCAGCGGGCCCACCCTCACTTGCTTTCTTTAGGGAAACTAAATGGTCCCTTCCTCCTGTAAGACCCACCAAGGGAGCTGGGAAGACCAACTTAAAATGGCAGTATGACATGTGCATCAAGGGCTGAGCGCAGCGTATTAAATGTAATAATCATGTTTCTCTCCATCTGCTTCTGGACTGTTCAGAGTTCTTCTGAGGGAGAGCTAGAAACCCAGTGAGGCAAGATGTCAGGAAGGCGTCAGTACCGACGAAAACAGACCAGAGTTATTGTTTTGCTTTTTGCAGTTTTTATTTTTGACCAAAGGCATTTTAGGGACTTTGAAGGAAGGACCTGGAAATGATCACTCAGCCTGGTATTTATTTTGAAATATACGCAGACTTCTGACTTTCAGATCCAAACAGCCTAATCCTTGATCATCCCAGAATGAGATTAGGAATCTGTGGTCATTTCCTTTGAACTGGGTATCTGCATACATCACTGGCCAGCTCGGTTTGGAGGGGTGAGCAGTTTCTCTGGGCTGAAACAGAAGGATGAAGACTTCAGGCCAGCCTGAAACATTCTTCCTTAGCAGTTAATCCTCCGTGAACGTTCGGGCGTGAACGACCTCAGCAAAGTTCCTTCGCAGTGTCTGGGGAGGACAAACTCCCGCCGCGGTGTGCGCTTTTAAACGGCAGCTCCAAATAGGCTGATAAAAATGGCTCTCGTTTTGTGTTTTTAATCCACGTTTTGCATTAGGAGTTTCCTGGCTATGTGCTCCATGGGAGGGAAGGGTCAATGTGTATAAATAAAGAGGAGGCTATCTGGCAAGATTGGGAACACGACCTCTTGCCCTCCAAAGCCTGGGAAGCCCTCGTGAATGCCCTGAATCCCAGCAGCGTGGGGACCCTCCCCTCTGCATTCAGAGCGGGGTTAGAGGTTAATGAGTGAGGGCTCTCCCCACACACGGGAGCCTGCTCCACAGTGGTTTTATAAATAGGGGCTTAAACGGGGTCAGAACAGGGCCTTCAGATTGCCTCCAAACCCTCTAAATCTTCCTGAAGCTGCGGTGTTCAAAGATGACACCTTTCCACCAGGGAAGGGAGCGGTGAGGCCCTTGTGCGGGGCGATCCGGGCAACTGTGACCGGCCCTGTGTGTCTCGGAACTGGACCGAATGGAAAACAAAGCGGGGGAGGGCCTCGCCGCCCCTATTCTTCTCCATAATCCCTTAAAAAATAATTGCAGACCCAACCTCTGGCCTCCAGCACATTTTCCACTTGATTAGAGGCCTTTGTGAGGTGGGTACAGGACCTGCGGGCTTGTACATTGTGCGAGGCCTGAAATGTCCAGCTGGGGTTTTTTTCCATCCAAAGAGGATTTTAGTAAAACCGTTATCAGGGGCTTAGGGGAGAGGAGCCGCGGGCCGCTGCGGGTGGATTAGCGCCAGCGTGGGCGCCCGGGGGAGGGCTGTGGGGGGGAAGTGTTGGCGGCCTTGCTCGGATGCTGGGAGTTCCTGGCAGGTGCAGCAGCAGGAAGGGACGTGGGAGTCGGGGCTCACGGGCCTCGGGGTGGCCTGGGGGCTTTCCCTCTGGGGCATCAGCAGAAAGCGGGGCGGGGGGAGGCCCTGGGCCTGCTTCCTTCCGTGTCGTGGCCACCGCATCCCGGCCCCCACCACAGACCTGTCTGTGCCCTCTTCCCCAACTCCATAGACTCAGGGACCAGGGCATGGCCAGGCCAGATTCCATGCAAGGACCACTGCTGGCCACTCGGACCCTGTGCTTTTGTGGGGGGACTGAGAGGACAGAGAAAGGTGAGGGGCCTGCACCTGTGTCTGTGGCCACCTGGCTGGGGCCTCCAGGGCAATGCCCTGGGACAAAAGCTGTCTTCTTGGGACAACTGGGGCGCTGGCCAGAACTTCTGGGTCAGGACAGAGCCAAGAGGCCTGACTCTGGGGGTTGAGGTGCAGGGTCCAGGGCAGGGGCCACCTGCCGCCTAAAGGGCCCCTGTGAGGGGCCTCACACCAGAGCCCCGGGAACCCTGAGCTCTGTCTCCCCATGATGCTGGCCTGCCAGCTGGCTTTCCCTGCAGAGAGGGAAGTGGGGAGCACAGAGGTTCCTCCTGACAGTGATGGCCCGGAGGGTGGGGCAGTAACAGCCACAGTCTGGGAGTGGGGCACGCCGCCCTACAGCCAGCTCCGAGCACCAGCCTGGGGGCCCATCAGCTGGGATTTCTGTCTCCCATCCGAGTCACACAACTGGAGAAAAGGGCCCAGGAAGGCTGCTTTTGGGGACAGCAGATCAAAGAACCGCCTCCAAATGGCTCTGGCTCCTCAGGGACCAGGCCGGTTGTGCTGCCCCCTCCTCACCCTGTGTCTCTGCCTTCCCCGCCTGGACCCCACGGCTTGGCCCGAGCGATACTGTTCTTTCCTCTGCCACCTCTTTTCTTTCTTCAGGCCGTTTCCCCGAGCCTGTATTAGTTCCGTGTGTCACTGACAGCGGCATTTTTCAGCCTGGGACGTTTTCTGCTTTGATACCACCTTCCTGGATGCTGGCAGGAACGGGGTCGGCTTCCTGCCTGGGCCCTGAGTTCCAGAAGCTTCTCCCTCCTCTCCTCCCATTTTCTAACCACAGATGAGCTATGTCACCGTGCTGGTGTCTGCATCCTACTTGATGACACGGCGTGGCAGGAGCAGCCACGGGCACGTCCACCCCCACTCCCCGCACGTTCCCTCCACACCTGCACCCTCTGCCCTTTGACTCTCTGAGGCCGGACCATCAAGGCCAAGATGGCAAGACCAGCCTGTCCCTTGTTGTGGCATTTAATGGAATCTGGCCGAATTGGCCCAGAAGTTCTCTCCCTTTGCCTTGATCTCTGCCACCGTCTCCTAAGGTCTCTTTGCCGCGGGAGGGATCGGGTGCTCCAGCAGCCTTGCCTCTTCATCGGGGCTCTTAGCCCTTTCCCTTTCACAGACTCCTGCAGGTTCCATGAAGTTACTCATTTTGATCATAAAAACAACTAAAAGTAAATACTCCTAACAATGCTTAAATATTTTCATTCTTCCTCAGAGGATTCTAGAGTTTTCATCACAAACAGTCCACTTTGTGCTTTTGTAATTTAAAAAGCCAGCGCGCTTGCTCCTCCTTGTTAAAATGGGTGTATCCGTGTCTGACTGTGAACTGTCCCCCCGTTTGTTTACCCAAACTCCCCCAACCCGGCGATCTAACAGGGTTTGTATGAGATGGTCTTAAAGAAAAGCTAGAAGCTGACGTTGGTGAACTGCGGACCCAGAGAGGCGTAAGCACAGAGGCGCAGCGCGAACCGGGACCGAAGGGTGGCATCCAGTTGTGTAAGCGCTTCTGGGGGGTGGGGGGCATTAGGTTTCATTTAGTCACTTACTTTTTTTTCAGTGGAGAGGCCGGGGATTGAACCCAGGACCGCGTGCACACTGCACCCTCACCTACCCCCAGAAGTTGGGGTTTGAGTCCTGTCCGGCACGAGATGCATCTGTCACCTGCTCCCAAGCCAGGTGCCCCCACCGGGCTCCCTGGGTGACTCCACTGACACTTAAAAGCGCTGCGTCCCCCGTCGGCCACGTGAGCGCCCCCTCTCGCCAGCGCTGATGCTGGGACTTTCTTTGTGGGGAGGCGACCGGAGGGCACCCGTCAGGGCAGGTCGTGGCGCCCACGGGGCTGCCAGCTCGCGGGCAATGCTGCCACCTGCTGACAGAACGCAGGGCCCGCAGGCTCTGTGGATGGAGAAACTGCCTCTTGCACGTGGAAGACAAATACGTAGCGTTTTGCGTTACCTTTACTTTTCCGCCTTAGAGTGGGTCCTGAAATCTTCCTAGTAAACTTGGGGTAAAGAAAAGCGCAAAGCCGGACTCCCAGCCCTGACATCAGGTGGACGTGACCCCGGCTGCATCCCAGGGGGAGGGTCAGTGGCGTGTGCGTGGGTGGGAGGGGGCTCGGCGGGGATGGGGAGGTCGAGGAACCGCCCAGGAGGAGGCAGGAGCGACATCCCACCGCTGCCTCTCAGGGAAGCGCGGTGCTTGACCTCTGTCCCCTCACTTGCACGGTCATTTCCACGTCTGGGGCAAGCGCGACGAGGGTGTTTGCCGCTGAATCTGGTGCCGGCTTGCTGTAGGGAGTTTCCGCCGTGCCTCTGGGGCTCTGTGGGGGAAGACAGGCCAGCTGCCTGCCTGTGGGTCACCCTGTGCTGACTGCCGCTGGTGGACTCCGAGCACGGTGGCCCGGCTTCTGGCTCAAGTGCACGGACGGGGGTCAGGGAGGGCTGGAAAAGCCAGCCAGCCGTCTAGTCCAGGCTTAGACAACCCAGGACCTTCTCTGCGTCCTACAGCAGCAAGCTGCGAGCTTCACAAAACCTGGAACACAGAACCTGGCCGTGCTGCTTTCGTAGATTCCGCAGAGACTGTCTAAATGTGCATTTGAAACAAACTAGAGCTAAACATTGTCACTTTAATTTTGTGTTTTCATCGGGTTTGCTCAAGGCACACCCACTGGCCTTTCTTCCTTCTTTTCTTGCTTTCTTCTTCTTCTTCTTCTTTTTTTTTGTAGGAGCTTATAGCAGTGGGCTCTCAGTGCTGAAGCTACAGTTTAAACATGGCAGGAGAAACACAGCTCTCCAAAACGCCATCTTCCATCTAAGAACGCTAGGAATTTGAGGGGTTTAACTGTGGCAACTCCTCCTTTACTTTGCCCACCTGTCCAATTTACTAAAGATTCTAAGGAATATCAGGACTAATTTGGGGGGTTCCTCCCCATTTAGAAACCAGAGAGCAGAATGGAAGCTGGTAGCTGTTGCTACACAAGTGTACACGTGCATTCATGAAGATGTGAGTTTGGGGTAAAGATTTCCTAAGGAGGAACCTCATCACAGACCTTTGTAGTAAATCCTTTCATCATCTTTTTAGAGGAGGAAGAACTATGCTTTGCAAGCCCTTTGGAGTAATTCCACACAATTTATGAAAAATTAATCTGGCCTCAACTAGTTCCCCATAGTCCATTTCCAGTGACTCGGACCCGGATCCATGCGGGGTCACTGTGAACAGGCAGGACCCTGCGGAGGGCAAGGTCATGTAAAATGACACACGAGGCCCTTTAATTCTTTCTGGACAAGAGGAATTTGTCCCTAACACATCTGCGAAGTCCAGACATTTTACCACTGAGTGAAGACAAAACAGCCCATGTTCCCGTGAGGTGGCACCTGGTGGTTTCTGGACGTGCGGGTCTCAGGGTGGAGGCCGTGCAGGCACCAATGGGTGGGTCTGCACTGAGTGTCACCGTCTGTGACAGAGTGGTGCTGAGGCACTAGCTCTGGTGCCGAGGACAACAGGAGACGATTGGACCCTACCTTCAGGCCACCCTGGGCCCCAGGCCCATTAACCAGCTCCTCACACGAGCTCTGTGGCTCCTTGAAAAACCTGTAATGCTTGTTAAATAGTAACTCAACATTTGGGTTTTTCACTCCGAATGAAAACGACGTGCTCTTGCTCAGCTCCCTTCAGCAGCGGGGGCAGGTGTTGGCCCCGGGACAGGCCCCCAGCCCCTCCAGCTTCGGGACCAGCCCAGGTGGTGGGTAAGGTCTGGGGCAGCTGCTCCGACACCCACCCCCCGCGTCACCGGGGCACAGCCTCTTCCCTGTTGATAAAGTTGAATGTCCCGTATCCACCAGGTTTCCGAGGAAGGGACAGCACTTCCGCCCAGCCTGTCCACGTCCCCGCCCGGCTCGCTGGTCATGCCCCTCCTGAATGGCCAGGACGCTGCCCCGCTCACCAGTGAGAGCGGAGGACAAGGGCCTGGGGCATTTGTCCTTTACAGGATCAAAATGGAAGACGACTGAGATCGTGAAGGTGTTAGTCTTCAAAGAGGACGTGCGCCCTTCTCTGGGTAGCACCGGGCGGGCAGGGGAATCCCACTTCTGCTGTCTTGCTGGGGGCATGCTGACGTGCGCCCTCGAGGGCTGACCTCAGGCCGACCTTCTCTGGAACCGACACTGGAAGCCATGGTTTTGCACACGTGCAGGTGCTCTGGGTGGGACAGGCCGCCCCACCAGGCGGTGGCAGGGCGACCCCTGGGAAAGAGGAAAAGGCTGAAACTGACCGACCGCGGAAACCTGACGTTACCAGTTGTCTGGAAACACCCGCTGTTCTGCCCGAGGCCTGCGTGCGGGCTCTTAACTCCAGCTGCGCACTGACCTCACTTCTAACTTGTCCCTCGTCGGCACCGACCCAAGCACGGCGTCTCCCCTGACAACATTCGCTTCCCGACAGATGTAACTAGCTGCTGCGGTCTGAACAAGCACCTGACGGAACGGCGTGGCCCCGCGTCAGCTGAGGGCTGGCCGAGGCCTTCCGATCTCCAGGACTGTGCGTTATTTCACCAGAAGCCTCACGCCGACTCCTCGGGGGACACAGTGCACACGTTCAGGTCTTGCCTCTATGAAAGGACCAGAATTCATGGTTTAAAGGGGGTGATGTCTGATGCAGGGGAAAAGGGCAGCAGAGAGGGGACGCCCGGTCACTCACTGTGGCCCCTTCGCCCCAGCAGGGCCCTGGAGCAGAGGGACGGGGCAGAGGCCGACAGGAGTGGCATGAGGTGTCAGTTTCATTGTACAAATCCGATCTCTTAATCAAGGGGGTCCTAGTCTTTGGAAACATCGTGGTCCCTGGGGTCACCCTTCCTCCTTTGAAAACTTGGGTTCAAGTTCTCTCAGTCAAAAGTGAAGGGTTGACTTGTACTCCAAGGCCGGCGATCTAAGCAACCGCGGCAGGAAACACCTGGGTGGGGGCTGGCGTGCCTCAGTCTACGTGCGTCATGCGTCCCTGTTCAAGAGGAAGCTCTCACCTTTGAAAAGAAATGGCAACAAAAGGGACACTTGCTTTTCCAGATCTTTGTCGTTGACGCAAATCTTCACTATGTAAGGTTGTTAAGTTAGGCCGGCTCCTCAGCACGGCCGCCCAACATGGGCTGGATGGAGTGGGCGGGACTGTGCAGGAGGCTGTCCCCTGTGGGAAGAATCGCACAGCGACGCCCAGCACCCTCAGCTGGAGGCCCGCCGGGGCCGGGGGTGGGGGGCTGCAGAAACGGCCCGAAGGCCGCAGCGCACTTAGGCTCAGCGTCTTCACGGCGACCTCGCAGGGCTCTCGCCCGTGACACTTCGGCAGGCCCGGGAGCCCTTTCTCAACGACCACGCAGAGGCTCCTGTCGAGGTTTCCCGCTTCTAGACGAGAACATCCACGCCGAGTCCCATTTCGGGCTTTTCAGTCCTGACGTTTCTGCAAATCCCTGCACCAGGTTTTGCGCTCAAGTGCCTTTTAACGTGCACACCTCCCGCAAAGTGCGCATCCATGCACATTCTCAGTGCTTCTACTCCTCAGAAGCATTTCCTTCCATTCTTGTAGGTATGGTGAGGGTGAATCCATTTTTATTCCCTTTTAAATGATGTCCTTGGCATAAGCGTGTCCGTATGGTGTTCAGACTGCCACCACTTGCTTCCGTGAGGTCGCCTTCCTGGAAGCCAAGGTGCAATCAGTAAGTGAGCCTTCTCCTGGAGCAGAAGGGAGCTGGACTGGAGTCCTGGCTCCCCTCGGTGAGCGGCTGACTTACGGCAAGCAGTATTCTGACCTGGAAAAGAAGGTACCTTTGCAGCAGGTTGCTTTGAGAGTTTCACAAGTACCAGGCAAAGCACACCATAGGTTGTCAACCCAGATTCCCTTCTTTCCATCCAGAAAGGTTGAGGGATCAGCAGTCAGCCTTGACAGATGAAGGTGAGAGGATTATCCATCTTTCCCAGAGACCCTCCACATACATTCTTAAGTGTGTCCAGTTCAGGATGAGGACACTGGACCCACGATTTTAACTTCCGAACTCGAATTTACCAGCCTCTAGTCAAGCTTGTATGTCACCTTTCAAGTAAAAACCAAAACAGCAGAAAAGCAGAGAACCCTCTGGTGACAGCTGGCAGGATTACTTTTTCACATTAAAGCATGCGAGCGCAGAGCCTGACACGGGAGATGCCCAGATTTTCACTGACTGGCTCTGCACAGCCACAGTCTCTTGGAAGGAAACAGTCTCAGAGCTCCTTCGCGTGCGGTAGCGGCGACCGCTCAGTGAGAAAGCTGACCCTAATTCAAGGTCCCTTCACGCATTTCTTCCCCCCAGGCCAGGCCATAAGCTCTGTAACCTAAGAGGGAGGAAAGGGATCCGGACCGTCCCCAAAGAAAAGGAAGATGGATCTAGCGTCAGGCTCCATTAGACCCACTGTGATGTCTCTCCAAGAAGGAACAATGTGGCTTTTGTGACAACCCCGAGCTGCAAGTTTGGAAATGTGACAAAACAACCTTGCCAGAGAGAAACCTGGTCTGAGCTCTCTTCCTGGAAAGAGGTGTCGATCCAGGAGAAGTTTTATGCGACTCTTATCAGCTCCTCCTGAGATCAGTATTGAAAAAAAAAAAATCTCGGCAACAGTGGAGGCAGACCTGCGTGAAACCAAGACTATGACCCCACTGTCTGGGCGTTCTCACTCCTCGGCTTCCGCAGCCCCAGCGCGGCTGTCAGACTGCTCTTACTCTTTGCTGGAATTGTTGGCATTCATCTGTCTGCCCCGAATTCAGTCAAAGAGCCCTCACCGGAGTGGATCTCAGCCTTAGCACTGCACATGCTTAAAATGCAAATGTGCAAGAACTCGGGTGGCCTCCCCGCCCCCGGGAAAGTGGTCCAATAAGCGGGGCTGGCCTGGCGGAGAATGCTAAAGAGGCCGGGGCCTCCTCCCCTCACCGGGACCCCCCCACACACACTGGGAGAGTCATCTGCATGGCTGAGTGCCCTGAACTTTCCCAACAATGGCCGCAGCCCTACCACACCCCAGCCCCATTCACACCCCCCTACGCCCACTCGAGGGCCCAGAAACCCAGCTCTCTTCCCACTTCCACATTCATGACCCATTTCTCGAACACCCCCCCTAGATCTCATGTCCACACAGAGAAAGACTGGCCACCCTGGTGAAATTGTGACTCTTACAAATCTGGTTGAAGAAAAGTTTCATTTTGTTCAGTTTCTTTAAATTTCCATGTTGACAGTTTAGAACGAAAAATGATATATATCTCCATTCTAATCACATTCTAGAAACAGAACATCTAGATGTCAGCAGTAAACCTTATACAGGATAAATTTTTAACCACGAGCTTTACTCACACCACACAGGATGCACCGGACTCTACGCCTTACACTTTCAGAGACACAAACACACCTCCTACTTTGGCATGGACCCAAACACACAGCCTTAAAAATAATTCACAGATACAAGGCTTCTGTTTTTTTGTTTTTGTTTTTTTTCAAAAACATACTTCATATTTCCTCTTTTATTATATAAATATCAGTTTAACCTTTTACTGTAAGAATATAAACGTTTTAAGAGGATCTTTGTTATTATTTATACAAATTCACAAACAGTACAATTAATTGATAAAGGTCTCTGGGTTTCTTTAACTCCATGGTCTCGCATGTTGCTCTGGAGGATTCTAAAAAAATAAACAAAAAAATCCAACAGAAATATACATCCTACTGAAAAGTGATTTTTTTAAAAAGCCACAAGTCCCAACCCCCACCAAACTAAAGAGCGTCGTTTACTCCTCCATTTAGAAACAATTTTCAAAAACCCACAAACTCCCATTTTTATGAACAGAACAGAGAGAAGACGTGGACTTCCGTCTGCTCCCCTCCACAGTACACCCCCAGGGGCGAAGTCAAGTCTGCCCCTCTGCTCCGACAGGAAGCCTCACTGCTGTGACCTTCTCGTGGGGAAACTTGGAAGAGGGTGGGGGTGGGGCAGAATTTGCATATATAATCATCATTTTCAATACACAATCTGCATCTCAAACAGACCAAAAAAATAAAAAACCAAACCAAAAACCCAGTTCAACTCTCACGTCTCCCACACATTTGTGCTATAAATTAAGTCAAGATTTAGGAACACCGCTGGGCCCTCACATCCCTATGGACAAGGAGAAAAAAGAAAATCATGGCCAGAATGGGCAGAGGGTACAATGGATGGATGGGGTTTGGGAAGAAGCCAAAACAAAAAAGACGGACAAACCCAATGGGCATCTTTCCAGTCCAGGCACACAAATGTTTCAGTCTCAAAATATCTCTCTCGTAGAATTCCAGGGCTTCAGAGAAGAAAGTAAACTAAAACGAGGTAGCCAGACAAATATGTATATATATATATAATTTATATATATATAATATATAGAATATATTCAGCAAGGAAAAAAAGGGGGGCCATGATGTCAAATTTCTTCAAAAACCAAAAAAAGACAATGCAAATGGGCTGAGTGAGGAGCGTAAGAGAGAGTGACCAGAGAGCCTGGGATTAGCTACAAAGCGGACGAAGGGTGACAAGGCCGTTGTAGTCGGGCTTGCTTTTATACATTGCAAAGTAAAAACCAGATCACAGTATTGAAATGAAAGCTTAAGTGAAGGCAGACATTTTCCTCAACTCCCCGGGGCTGAAAGGACTGGTCACTCCCCGCCCCCACCCGCCCCACCTCCATTTCCAAATGCGGCGCTGCGGGGAGACAGCGGCTCCTCCGCCCTTCAGACCCCTGCAGGGCGGAGTGGGCGGTGGGCAGCGAGTCCATCACTGCATCCTCAGGGAAAGGGGGAGAGCGGGGGCAGCAGAGGGGCCCCGGACGCAACGAGGAGGCGGGGAGGGCTGGGGAGGCGGGGATGAGCCCGGGGCTGCGGGTCACCGTCCTCACCGCGCCCGCCGCAGTGACCTGGGTTTGCGTGTAAGTGTGGAGGGAGCGCGGGGCGCAGGACGAGCAGGGCGGGACGAGGGGAGTGGGCCTGCCGCCCTCACCTGACCTTCTCACTGTCCGTCATCTGCCAGAGGCCCAGGTTGAGCACCTTGAGGCAGGGCAGCTGCGTGATGCGCTCCAGGCCGCGCTTGGTGATGCGGGTGCAGCCGTACAGGTCTATGCCGGTGAGCTGGCTCAGGTGCTCGGCGATCAGCTCCAGGCCCTTGTCCGTGATGCGCACGCACTGGCCGATGTTGAGCGTGCGCAGCCCGTGCATCTGCCGCACCATGCGGTTGATGCCGTCGTCGCTGATGTGGCAGGAGCAGAGGGACAGGGACTTGAGGCCGTCCAGCCCCTGCGCGATGTAAGCCAGGCTCTGGTCCCCCACCTTGTCACAGAAAGACACGTCCAGCCCCGAGAGGCGCAGGCTGCCCATGGCCAGGTGCATGATGCCCGTGTCACTGATGTTGTCGCAGGAGCGCAGGTTGAGGCTGCGCAGGCTGCCCATGTGCGACAGGTGCAGCAGGCCCGCGTCCGAGATGCCCCCGCAGAAGCTGAGGTTGAGGAGCCGCAGGCCCGCCAGCCCCCGGGAGATGTGCTTCAGGGAGAGGTCCGTGAGCTTCTGGCAGTCCTGCAGCGTGAGCTGCTCCAGGCCCAGGCAGCCCTCGGCCGCGCTGCGCGTCATGCCGGCCAGGTGCCCGATGCCCACGTCCGAGAGGTGGCGGCAGCTGCGGAGGTTCAGGCTCTTGAGGCGCTGCAGGCCCCAGGCGATGAGCAGCAGGCCGGTGTTGGTGACGTTGCTGCAGCCGCCCAGCTCCAGCACCTCCAGGCCCTTGAGGTACTGGGCTATGCGGCCCAGGCTGCTGTCGGTGATCTGCTTGCAGAGACTCAGGTTGAGCGCGCGCAGCGAGCCGATCTCCTGCACGAACGCGTGGCCCAGCCCGTTGTCGGTGAGGTTGTAGCAGCCGCTGAGGTTGAGGCTCTCGATGTTGGCCATGCCCTGGATCACGTAGCTGAGGCTGCGGCGCAGGCTCAGGATCTGCACCCGGCGGATGCCCCGGGCCTGCAGGCTGGGGAACAGCGACGGGTTGGCCCGGCGCAGGTGCAGCTTGGCCTCCACCCCCCGCCACACCGACTTGTGGTAGGCGGCGTCCCGCCAGGCCGTGCACACCTGCGCCGCGCGCCCCTTGTCGCGCACGTCCAGGTAGCCGAAGATCATGGCCAGCAGCTCGGGGAACAGACACGAGGTGTGCGTCTCCATCTTCCTCCCCGCGGC